TGAGCTAGGTGTTGACCTGAAGCCATGCGGTGATCATCTTGACTTGTGACTCAGAACCAGGATACATACGTCTCCGAGTCTGACACACTCAGCGAGAGCCAGCAAGAGTGAGACCCTTGTCTACCCCAAGGGTTCCAGTTATTTTCAAATGGAAGAAATAATCTATGAATAAATTTCCTATTTCTTGCTTCAGTAATTTATCCCAAACTATAAAACCTACTCCTTTACATTTATCTTTTTAATACATATTTTCAAAACTCTCCTCTAAACTATGTGAGTAAAATTGGTTAGACAGTCTCTGAAAACAAAACAAAAAACTCATTCCTCCTGCATATTCTCTACTTTCCTCGCGGGACTGAGATTCCACGGGAGAGCCTGGAAATCACCTGTACCTCTAGTTTGACTCAATTCCAGCAAACCCCCGACCGTGCTGGGACGACCTGACACTACACCCACACCGAGAGCAGCCTGGAAATAGAAGAATGCGGTGCTGTGTGAAAACCGTATTCTGATTTATTTTAACTTTATTAAAATCAGTAATCATGTCCTGCGGATGTCTGAGTACAGGGTTCTCACCTTCTGAGCAGCTCTCACAGTTCTTCCTCTAGGTTTTTTTTTTTTTTTTTCCTGTAGCAAAGGTGAAAGAAAAGGTGATGCAGACAGCAATTGAGCTGCGTTAAAACCAGGCAGACTAAATAGAAATGAGGGTTCTTTTTGAAACAACAAACCTCTCAGTCTTGTTGGAAGCCCTGGAAAATACCATTAGACACAGCCACGAAATATCTGATGTTCTGTGAAATCCCACAGCTCTCAAAAGAGAAACCACCACAATCCCGTCTTTTCAACCATGCCGGTTATGGGCTTTACTAGAGGAATCAAGGCAGAACGGTGACATTGGAGCATGAAGTTGACACGTAATAATGAATGGCCAAATGCTTGTTCAATTGTTAATATTTCTGTTTGAATAATAATGACTGTTTAGTGACTCTCTGCATGTTTCTCTGTGGAAAAACATGTTCCTAATGAAATCTGCATTAAGGGACTTCCTTCTTTGCTCTTTAAAACTTTAGTTTTTAATGTATTCTTTGAGAAGTTCATACATTCCACAACAAAATGTGATCTATCCAATCCCCCATTTTTCCCACCTAATTCCTCCTGAGCCTCCCAACATCACTCCCTTGTGTCCTGTGTGTGTTTGTTTAATTTAAATAACACACTAAGTACAATTAGTGCTGTCCATATGTGTGTGAGTGTGGGAACATGGAGTACTGACAGCTTGCCAGTAGTCACCCCCCTAAAAAAAGACAAGACACATTCTCCTTCCCTGGGTAGATATCATGTGCCAGTATCCCTTAGTTAGGGATAGGACCTTGCGAGATCCTCCCCCAGCCAAGTACAACTTTCCTGTCCTCATTCCCCAGCAAGGTGACGTCTGTTAAACCAGTCAGCTGCTAACCTTAGGACATCCACGTTTGCTTGAAGCCGGGGGCACTAGAGGGCAAAGAGATGTAGTCTTATATTCAGCTGTTTTTAATTATCTGTCACTCTGCTGTAGTCTTACTTGGTTCTCTGCTTTCCCTAGAATGAGCCATAAGCGTTGTCCTTGGGAGTTGGCCATGACTGACCCTGCGCTGGGGTCTGTCCTGCAGCCACGGGTCTTTGTGTCCCTCTGGGTCTTTGGCTTACGCTCAGGTGCCCCAGGCACCCTAGAGTCAACCCTCCCATCTCATCTCCCTCGTCCTGCTTTATATTCCCGGATAGCAGGCCTTCCAACATTGCATATTATTTATTCATTTTATTTATGGTATAACAAGTAAATTCCAATTTCTTGCAGAAACCACAGAGCATAGAATGCCTAGCAAAAAAGATCTCAGTAGTATGAATGGAAGAAAGGGCAGACATATTCCTATAATAAAGAGGAAATGCATAGTCCACAAAGTTAGCTCATTGGGTAAAGGGGCTTACCTCTAAATTCTATGACTTTGGTTCAAGATCTGGAACCCACATGGTGGAAGGAGAGAATTGACTCCCCCAAGTTGTTCTCTGACCACCCTGGTGCAGCAGCATGTGCCGCCCACCCCCACCTATCTGACAAATGCACACAAAACAAATAAATAAAATGTCCTAAAAAGGTTTTTGAAAACAATGCAAACTCAAGAGCTCTTGTGCTTCACAACTGGAATGAATTGTAGTGTTGTTTTGGACAGTGGGCTTAGTTTTGAAGTAGACTCAGAAGACCCCAAAATGCCACTGTCTTTTCCTGTGCCATCCTTTCAAAGTGTATAAAGACAAGGGATCCTAAGCAAGAACACCAGTGTAGGGTGTGCTGATGATCCTGAACCAGCCAGATGGACTCTACATCTCTGCTCAGAAGCATAGAACAAAATCTTTTAGGGAGATTAGAAGGAATTGTTTGGCAGGAGGTTGGGTGAAATTGGGGAAACAGTAGGGCCCAACTGTGTCATAAGATGGGGACAAACTGAACAGAGCTTGGAGACGGACTCATGTGTCACACCCGTACCTCCCGTTTCAGCTGCCACCCACGTGGGGTGACCAGCAGTACGTAAAAGGGGGCTGGTGTGGCTGAAGAGCTGCTTAAAATTCATGCAGTTTTAAGGAATGTGTGAGGCTAATGGCAATCACATCAGGGGATATGGATGACTATAGACTATACCCTGTCACCCAGCTAACCAGTCTGGAAATTTTCAATGGAAAATATACAATGAAACAATTGGTGAGCTGGTGTAGAAGGTCCTTCTGTATTTGTGTTGCTTTCATTGGTTGAATAAAGAAATTGCCTTGGCCTAGTTGATAGGGTGGAACTCAGGTAGGCAGGGAAGACAGAACAAGATTCTGGGAAGAAGGGCAGTGATGAAGGCGTAAATCACAAACAATCCCACACCAGTTTGGAATTATGATTAATAGGGTGGTAATTATTTAAAGGGGAAGAAACTTACAGATAACCGTCCCAGACAACAGCCCTCTGCGCAATCAGGAAGGAGTCTAGTCACCGGAAGCAGAGCAGGAAGCAAAGAGAGAGCGAGGAGGGAAGTGGCCGCTTTTTTAAAGAGAGAGACCATGCCCCAATGGGCTGGTATCTCAGCGGCTATTGGCTGGAGGAGCGGAAGGACCTCCCGCAACAGGGCAGAGTGACAGATGCCATGAATCTCCGGGCTGAGACAGATGTAGGTTAGAATCTTGCTGGTAAACCACAGTCACGTGGTGATACACAAATTGGTAGAAATAGGTTAGATCAGGATGTGAGAGTTGGCCAAAAAGAGGCTAGATATAAAGGGTCAGTCAGTAATCTAATTAATACAATTTCAGTGTGATTATTTCAGGGGTTAAGCTAGCCAGGCAGCGGGATGCGGCCTGCACCTTCTACTAAAGTGAGTTGTAGTATGCAGCATTCTGTGTAGTGTGTTGAAATTAGTCCTGCCAGAATGGAGCACCATCTTCACATCCAGTGAATCTATAATGTCTTCCTTGCCAGTCTGTTAGACACTCAATACTCTGGTCACAATACTACAGTGCCTGTGTTCAAGACAGAAGGCCAACAGCAGCTAATGCTGTGTCACGGTATCTACAAAATTCAACTCTGCTTAGCATATCTGTGCCTGTAGATACTGTGTCATCTCTATTCATCTCAGGGATAGGGGAGAAATGTAAGCTCAGCATGGCAAGATACTTTGAGAGGAAGCTCATATTCACAGCTTTTATTATAGCCTATTGTTATGATGGTCCTATTTTATTAAAGGCTGTTGAAAAACTCTGACTTATCAACCAGACTTCATTATAAGTACGTGGCATGGGAACAAACCTAGAATGAATGACAGTGCTATGCATTTACTGTCCCTCCTGGGTTAGGTGGACCCTGCAAACTGAAATGGACAACATCCCTATGTCTCAATGTGAGTCAGGAAAAGATACAATATTTCTGTTTCTGTCCAGGAAAACATTCCACCAACTAAATTCAGAGACCAAGCCTCTGTGTGTTGCTTTTATTGGTTAATGAATAAAGAACTGTGTTTGAGACTATGGTAAGGGCAGAACAGAATGAGGCTGGAAAAGCTAGGCTGTATGCTGGGAGAAAGAAGGGCGGAGTCAGAGAGAAGCCATGGAGCCACCAGAGACAGACACTGGGAACTTTAGCTGGTAAGCCACAGCTATGTGGCAATACACAGATTACTAGAAATGTGTTAAATTAATATAAGAGTTGGCCAATAAGAAGCTAGAGCTAATGGGTCAAGCAGTGTTTTAATTTATACGGTTTCTGTGTGATTATTTCGGGTCCAATCTAGCCAGGCGGCAGGGAACCAACAAGTGACCTCCTCCTACACCTCTGCATACAGCATTTAGAAGTATCTTCATTCGGAAGTCTGAGATCTTAAGACACTAAGTTGTAGTGTAATATAAGCTCTTTATCACTAATTCTATCACCCTTGAGGATATAAAGTAGTTTCAGAAGTTCTTTTAGTTCTAGAAGGTGCTATTCCATGTATCTACTCTTTTGCTTATAAATAATAATTTATAGAATTCCAAAGCCTAAAGTTTACATACAGAAAAAACTTGAAACAGTGAGGCAAACGTAATTGCAACCAGCCCTAGCCTATACAGTTGGGCAAGTGGAAGGAGGCAGGAGAGTGAAGGCAGAGACCCAGTGAGCTCACAGCAGGATGGCCCTAGCCTGTCCCTTGCTCCCACCTCTCCTGGAGATCTTCAGTTTGGACAAGGCATCCTTTGAAGGGGGCTTACCTCACACATTCTGTTTGTCTTATGAGTTAAGTAAGACCCATCATCATGTAGAATGATAAATGTTGAAGTCTAGGGGATAAAGTGCTAATGGGACAGCTATAAAGAAGAGCTCACTTAATATTCTCTTTGTAATATCACACTTTACAGGTGCTTGGTGTGCCTATATATAGACATAGATACTAAATTGGCCGTCTACCTGGAATATATGCAAAATGACAAGAGTAAAGTAGTTCCTATTACCAAAATCGATTGAATTCCATTATGTTTTAATGCTTTCTAATTTAAAGTTCTAAAACATAGAATACATCTTCTCAGAGACCCCTGACAGAGACATCTGCTGCCCATGGAAAAATATTAAACAGCTTAAAAATATTAAACACTATTAAACAGCTTAAAGCCTGCCATCATTTCATATTTTATAAACACATCATTGCAAAATATACATTGAACTGTATTCTGGAGATGTCCATGAGAGTTTTAACCAATGTTGTGATGTTTTATAGATCATGCAGTATTGCATCCAGGCAATTTCCCAATGTCTGTAGAGTGGGGCTTTCGAGGCCTTATAATTCAGATCCAAATCACCAAAACATGTTAGTTTTTAATATCTTCATAACTGCATTGTGCTTAGGCTGCCACTACATCTTTGTATGGCCCCAAAGCTTGCCAAATGAAAGGGCAAGGATGCTTGGAATTAAACCTGGGACATTGAAGGACAGGTCATTGAGAGTTGACCATTTATAACACGCTTTTAAGTCCGTCATGAGCAGCACTCTCTATAAATTTTATACAAGCAGCTGCAGCTTCCTCAATGGATTTGGACCAGCCACCAATATTGCCAGCAAAGTAAGGGAGGATGCTGTCTGATATCCGATTCAGGTACGCTACCTGTGCCAAAGAGAAAATACAACAGGTTGAGTTTTTATTGGCTTGGAGAACTTTCAAGCAAGAGACTGAGTGATGTGGGATTTCCCTCTGTATGCTGTGATTACCATTAATGAATAAAGAAATTGCTTTGAACCTATAGTAAGTGGGGCTTAAGTAGGTGGGGAAAGCTAGATTGAATGCTGGGAGAAGGAGGGGCGGAGTCAGAGGGAAGCCATGTAGTCCACTGGAGACAGACTTGCCAGGACTTTACTCAGTAAGCCACAGCTACAGGCGATATACAGATTAATAGAAATGGGCTAAATTAAGATGTAAGAGTTAGCCAATAAGAAGCTAGAGCTAATGGGCCAAACAGTGTTTTAAATAATATAATTTCTGTGTGATTATTTTGGGGCTTAGTGGCCAGGAACCAACAAGCGGCCCTCTTCCAACAACTGAGACTGTTGGTGAACTCTGGAAGGAGTCTTTTTAGTGAGAACACACATTCTAAGACTATGATTAATTAGAGATCTGTGGGGAATGAAGAGGTGCTCCCGTTTCTGTGAGGATAAATGTAGGCACAAATATTTCATCAAACATACGGTGCATGAACTGCTGTCGACCGCCTGGATGAGAAAGCCTGCACATATGACCTCGCTTCTGATGTACTGTGCAGATGCTGGGATGGACGGCAGGGAGACCGACTTCACTGCTACGATGTAAGTGTTACTGAAAGACAGGAGCATATGTCCTAACTCCACATGAGAGGACTGTTAGACAGTATATTTCTACAGACCTTTATATTGGCATGTATTAATTTGCTTTTGTGGTTCTAGGCAAGTTCTCCAACACTGGCTCCATCCCCAGCCCATGGGGCAACTTTATTGTCCCGATATAAGTGAGTTCTGAAATCTCGATTCCTCTGGATGAGTGGTTAAGGTTAAAACAAACAAACAACAAGCCCTTCTTTCTAGAGACCATCAGACGTAGGGAAAAAGGTAACTTCACAAGGCACAAGCCCGGAATCACTCAAGTTTTAGTGTGCCCGAAAGGGTTATGATTTCAGTTTCTCGTCGTTTTTCAATTAAAAAGAAAATCAACATTCAAGCAATGAAGAATGCCATCGGCTAGACAATAAAAGTGGCCCTTAGCCTGTTCTTGCTACAATCCCTGCAATCCTGTTTCCCGCCACATCAGTGGCCATTCCCAGCTTCCACATGCAGCTCTCTGGATTTTATCACTATACCCAAGCAGCATTAGAAAACACACATGCAGATTGTAACACAAATAAAATCTCCTTGCAAATACAGCCCACAACTTGATTTTCCACTGAACAACAAATGTCTAGAGAAAGTTTTATATATGTGCCCCTATAACTACTTTGTCCTCCTTGGAGGTGACTCCCTGTTCTGCATTGTGGATTTATCATAATTTATAAGCTAGACATCAGTGTATTTGTTATATACTTTGACATAATAGAAGGTGCTACATTGAACACCTGTATACATTATTAGCCCATGTGTAGGGGGATTATTTGGGCACACTGCTCTTTCAATTCCATGCTCTGTGTGGTCCAGGGTACATGGGAAGGCCACGTTCACACTCTGGCCCATGGCCCCAGCCCACAGCACACAGTGGGCCAGTTTGGATGGCTGATGCGGCACGGCCTTTGTAACGCCTCTGTTTCCGGTGCTGTCATTCCTTCCGCTGACTTTACTGATAACGAGAGGCCTTGAGGCTTTTCACCTACTCATTTTAGTCCACACAGAGCAGAAGGAGGCAGCTTTAGCGTTCTTGTGGGCCCTCGGCACACAGTTGACGATGCGTGAGTACAGTGATAAAATGGTAACTGAAGGTTCATTTACTTTGGAAAACCCGGATGAATATGACTAAGGACTGGAAACGTCAATGATGGCTCTTCTGTTTTCATGGCCATTCATTTCTAGTCTCTAGAGGCAGTGCCGGGGGCACCCGGAGCTGTGTGTACTCACTCGTCTTTGAGGGGCTTTCGTCGCGACACAAGCACGGTGATGTCTTTGGGTTTGTCGCCGTTTACCACAGAGCAGATGATGTGATATATCAGGTCGTCCTCACCCACCTGGTCCACGACATCACAGGAGCTGTGTGAAGAGAGCAGTAATCAGACATGCTTCCTACCGCTTTGCTTATCTATTGGCATGATCTCCTTCTTGACATCTATCTTCACTTGTCCTGCTGACTGCCAACCCCCCCCCCCCCTCCGCCACTGCTGGAAGGCTGACTTTGGAACGAGCTGTTTGCTCAGGAGGAGTAATTTTACACACGATGGAAAGGTGCCAGCCGTCTGGCTCCAAGGTCACTTCCCTCAAAACTCCAAAGGAAGGCAATAAGCTTTCACAAAATTATCTTTTTCTAGGATCAAATAAAACATTTTGAGGCGAGTGAGATATAAGGCTGGGGCCAGCACTCAGGTGTAATACCCTCGAAGGAAACTAACTTTGAAGCTTTGACCCTCAGATTGCTGCTTAGTGGCAGCACTGTGTAGACAAGTCATTTTATTATTCATCTGTATAATGCGGATAATAGTATTGAGGGGTTATTGTGAGAGCTAAACACAGACGCTTGATGTAGACCTCAAGTTGTCAGTAGATATACAAGAGACGCTGGATAAATTTAAATGAATTCACTGGCTTCTCCACTCATGTTCAATTTCAGTGGTCTATCAAGTTAAGCAGAATTGTTACGTGTAAAGTAACTCGTTGGAAGACAAGGTGTCTTTGAGATGCTGCAGTGTTCTGTAGCTTTGGAGGCTAGACCCTGTGTAATCTGTCACTGCAGGGTAGCCAACAAAGCTCACAGTTCCATAGTCATCCCTATACCTGTGGCAACACCCAAACCTTTGATGCTCAAGTCCCTTGCATACAGTGACACAGTATTTTCATTGTAACGCGTACATGCCCTCCGGTACGCTCTGAAACATCTCTAAATCATATATGCAATGTAAACGGTATGTTGGTAGTTGCTATACTATTTAAAGAAAAAAGTAAGAGAAATCTGCATGTTTGATGTGCATGCGCGCGCGCGCACACACACACACACACACACACACACACACACACTTTTCATCCAGAGTGTTTAAATACGTGGATTGGGACCTATGAATAGGTGTGACCAACCATATGCCAGCAAAGTTGGGATGGAAGAGATAGCTCTAGGAATGAAGAGACAGAAAGTGGTGGGGGAAGAGAGGATGGACGGGAGCAGAGCATGATCAGATCATCAAGAGAGACTCAAGAGAGAGCAGCAGGTGGAGCCTTCCTCCAGGACTCACTGCTGGCTTCTACTCATGACTTCACAGGAAAAGAAGTCTGGGAAGACACTGGATACCTTCCCAAGAGCCATGAGGCTATATGGAAAAGACAAAGAGTGTGTGCTACAGAGCCTGGCCGAGCTGGATTCCATGGCAGGTCTGGACAGGGCTGTCAGGGCAGCCTTGCCGGGTCTCAGCAATAGTAACAGCATCACATTTGAAGATGTGGGCCACAGAGATGAGTCTGACAACGGTTGCTTTGCACATCTCGGTGTCACCTGCTGCAGTGGTGTGCACAAAGCAAACTCTAAAACGTCTCTATGTTCCTGAAACAATAAATCTATCCTGCACTGGGCAGTGTAGATGAAATACAGCTGAGGTTATCTTTCCTACAGGGTCGGACTTGATTAAGAAAAAAAATTGTTCTTACATGTAATGGGGGTCCCACAAAGGCCGATTTGTGAAGTCGGACAAGAGATGATAAGCCATGTGGGCTGGACTGCCAACATGCTTTTCAACCTTAACAGATATGGCATCTTGCTCTTCCAGGGTATATATTTTTATCTAAAAGATATGAAAAAAATTAAATTACAGGAAGAAGATATATTTTTGCTTTAAAAGATACTCACATACACATGCCCATGCACACACGTGAGCATGGAATCACAAGAGCCCGCACCAGTTATGGCACCTATCCGCTCATCTGAATACTAAGGAAGCCAAACAACAACCATTTCTCTTCAGTCTTGGGTGCCCAGAAGCCTGGGCAGGATGCTAGTTCTGTGCCATCCAAATAATACGTGAGTGGGTTTATTTGCATCATTTTTTCATGAAAAATAAAACCCAAAAGCTTTTCTGTCTTGATCTCCATGGTGTTTCCTGCCTCTGGACACTAAAAACAGAGAATGCCACCAGGGTGCTAGACAGGCCAGTGCCACTCTACCCTCAGGCTCCAGAAACAAGACTATGAACCACAAGACTCTCCCTGAGTGTCAGGCATGAACTGAGTGGTCTAAAGGGACACAGGAAATAAGCCACCTATCTCCAGGACAAACCCAGTTTCTCAAAAGGACCTTTGGACCACGTTCCTTCCCCACAAAGGATTCTTTGCGTTCTTAATCGCAAGGCCATCTTCTAATACATCGTGTCTGTTAGATAAGCAGGAGCCATTTGACATATACTTAAACACTAATATCATCTCCGTGGCTTTGAGCTATCTTCCTGAGGTTTTTTTTTTTTAAAAAAATGATCAGATGTATGTGTTGAGCTAAGGGCACATTTCTATTCTGCTCAATTTCTCCCATCTCTTTCAGGGCCTTTTGAAGTTAGTGCTAACATTTTCCATCTTATAATCATTGCCATGGCAACAAACTGTGAGAAGACAAACAAACATGAGGTTAGGGCTCCGAGCACAGGGCTCAGGCCGATGGAAGGAAATCAAGCTGTGAAGAGCTGACGTTTATTGAAACATCTGTCTGTATCGAAACGCAATGCCACCCTCGCTATGAGGATGAAGAAATGAGAAATCCACTCTGAGAAGCTTAGACAGCAAACAAGTGCTTACTCGCTCAGGTAAAAACACATCCCTTTCCGGCCATGGGTATCTCTAATTCCAGCCTGCAAAGCAAAGTCTGGCTTAGACTATGAGTGCTCGCCAGATACAAAGAAAACCTGGTGGGGTCCTGCATGGCTGCCATCAGCACAGAGCCAAAAGGAGTCCGCTAATGAAAATCCACAGAAAAGCTTGGTGACCAGGCATCGCTAGGCCTGGGTGCTGGTTGGTGACCAGGCGTCTCTAGGCCTGGCTACTGGTTGGTCACCAGGTATCTCTAGGCCTGGGTGCTGGCTGGTCATCAGGCGTCTCTAGGCCTGGGTGCTAGTTGGTCAGCAGGCGTCTCTAGGCCTGGGTGCTGGTTGGTCACCAGGCGTCTCTAGGCCTGGGTGCTGGTTGGTCACCAGGCGTCTCTAGGCCTGGGTGCTGGTTGGTCACCAGGCGTCTCTAGGCCTGGGTGCTGGCACACTGCAGAATCAGTGGAGTTGATCGCATGCTTGCTTTGGGGTTGTCATGAACAGAGGTGTGGGGAGAGACTATTCCATTGGGCTAAACACTTGCTTAGAGTTGACTCACGGTCCCCTGCTGTCCACACTCCTATGGTAGAGCCCTAACCTCTTGTATCTTGTAATGTAACTTTATATGGAAGCAGGGTCTTTGCCAATATGATTCACTTAAAATGAGGTCATTTTGCAGGAAGGTAGGCCCAATATGACTGACATCTTTATAGAGAAGGGAGGCTGGACACAGAAAGGCACACAGGAAGGACACTGTGTGGAGATGAAGGCAGGGATCGGCCTTGCAAACCAAGGCTCAGTAAGGCTGACCAGCAAAGTCTCTCGCCAGGTGAGAGGCAAGGAGCTAACACTCCTTCCTCACAAGCCACCAGCCTTCCTGTGCTTGATCTCAGAATAGCCCTCTTCAGAAGAGAGACACCAGAGATTCCTATTGTTCACATGGCCCAGTGAGTGGTCCTCAGTTGTAAAAGCCTCGGGAAATTAACTCAGTAGTTTTCCAGTGAGTGGCTGTCCAGCTTGTAGACACATTTTATCCTTGAGCCAGAAGGAGTAGGCACAATTAAATTCTACCTTCACAGACAGGGCTCACTGATGTATCCATGGAGGATGAGTGAATGACATCTATTCTTTCCCTAAGAAGGTAAAAGTAGCCGGAAGTCCTCCTTATTATCCTGCTACCTGAACCAATGTCATGGATGCAAAATCAGACAAAAAAAAAAGGCAGTGGTCCATTTTGACTCTTTAAATTTGCCAGAGAAAAGGCACCGTGGAGCTTTCAACGAGATGCTCCACATAAGTCTCTGGCATTTGAAACCCTGGTCTCCAGTTGGTGGCCATTTGGGAAGGATCAGGAGGTGTGGACTTATTGGAGAAGGTGTGTCACCAGGGGTAGGCTCACGGTTTTAAAAGCCCATGTCGTTTCCAGTGTGCTCTCTCTGCCTCCTGCAGTGGTTGAGATGTGAACTCTCTGCTGTTCCTAGCGCCCACTGTGGACTCTCACCCTCTGGAACTTAGGTCCGATAACACATTTTCTTCTGTGAGTTGCCTGGGTGGTGGTATCTTATGCAGCAGTGGGACTGGAGCCAATCCAGCCTGCTTTGGTTTCAAGGAGAGATTCTCCAAGAACAGTTATCTAAGAAAACAACTTCCCTTTGATGATGGGGATGGAAGTAGACATGATTCATAACCAACTCCAGTGTTTGGGAGGACTGGACTGATGTGGGATCCCCTTCTGTATGCTGTGATTACCATTAATGAATAAAGAAAACTGGTTTGGCCTGTTGATAGGGCAGAACGTAGGGAGGTGGGAAAAACTAAGCTGAATGCTGGAAGAAAGAAGGGTGGAGTTAGAGAGAAGCCATGGAGCCATAGGAGACAGATGCCGGGAACTTTAGCCAGTAAGCCACAGCCATGTGGCGATACACAGATTAATAGAAATGGGTTAAATTAATATGTAAGAGTTAGCCAATAAGAAGCTAAAGCTAATGGACCAAGCAGCTATTTAAATAATATAGTTTCTGTGTGATTATTTTGGTTCTGGATGGCTGGGATGAACAAGCGGCTCCTTGCTAACCAGGCAGCAGGAAACCAACAAGCAGTCCCCTCCCCCAACACTGGACAGTTTATTATCTGAAATGAAGCTAAACATGAGTAGCTTCAGACTCACTGAAGCAAGTGTGCTCAGATTCCATCAGTGAAACTGTTTTCATAATAACAATGCTCTGCTTGGAACTGTTTGGATGCCAATCAGTACTATAATAATAAACATTTTAGACTTTTTGTATCAATAGATAAATATATTCTTGAGGTTACATTATAGACAGGAAGAGGAAACTGCTTTTTTGAGATAGGGTTTCACTGTGTAACAGTCCTGGCCTTCCCTGGAACTCACTCTGTAGACAAGGTTGATCTAGAACTCACAGAGATCTGCCTGTCTCTGCCTCCCAAGTGCTGGGACTGAAGGTGTGTGCCATTACCGCCCAGAAGAAACTCTTCTATAGAGGCCTAGTTGATAGAGGCACCTACAGATGGCAAGGACTGGGGATGAGCAGGGCACTCTGGGTCTAATTTGTCTCGCTCAGCTCTTTTGAGACTGGATTCCCTCTGGTCAGCTTCCCAGACAAGGACTTTTACTTAGAGAAGATTTTAGGCAAACTATGTCTTTTTTGTTTTCACCCTATTTGTGGTGCTTCCTCAGACTTCAGTCACTCCTTAAGTATCCATGCCTATCAGGCCAGGCCCCTCATAGCAATTTCTCCCCTGGAGGTCTCAACTAGAGCTAAGCACTGCCTAGAAGGCTCTCTTTGTCTTCACTCATGAGGCTACCTGCAAGAGATGAGAACCACACTTTTGGGGGGCTCTTTTGTTGTTGTTGCTGTTGTGTCTGTCTGTACCTTACCTTGCCTAGCTTAGACCTGGCCCCCGTGGGTCAAACACTATGATATTTTACCTGTTTGTCAACTTCCTGATATTATTCTTGAGCAGTTTAATGCGCATGTGTACCGTTTCTAGATTCATCGCTGGCCTCTTGTATTACTTTGGTTATTTCTCAGTTTATATATAGAAAATCAAATGGTAATTAAAACCTTAAGTACTGTCCAATTTTATTATAAATATAAGACTTCAAATCCAATTACATTGAAAATAAGAATAAAAAATTGGCTGTGGTGCACCCTGGTGATCCAAGTTCATGGGGAGGAAAATGTAGGAAGACCCTGGATCCAAGGCCAGCTACAGAGTAAGATGGCTGGGGTGGGGGTGGGTAAGCCTCTATGCAACTCCCAGAAGCTAGCAAAAAGATGAGAGACAGATTTCATACCAAGAAAAAAAAAAGAAGGTACTGAGGCATCTTTTATGAGCAATAGTGAGAAACCAATGCTTTAGTTATTAAACCTGTTCCTGCATCATTGTGAGCCCAGTAGGCATGGCAACCTAGCTGGATCTAAGGGGCATAAGGAGGACCCTGGAAGGATTCAGCTCTGCGGACAAGGAAATAACAGAAACATACAACAAAGAAACACCCAAAAGAAGTCACAGTGAGATCTGAAAACAAATAAGGAAGTAACCTTCAAATTTATTTAGATTCTAAGGTGAGAGGATTGTTTGATTCTCATCCCGAGGCATCAAGTTAGGCTGGGACAACAGGTACAAACGTGGACTGTTCCAGGACAGTTAGAATGCTTGACTGCCTCTTTTCTAGGGTAATGTTTCATTGACAGGGAACACCCATCCATAGCAGACATACCCCAAACCTGGCTATCCTGCTCATCTTGCCAGGCACTGCTATCTACCATGGTCTGGGAATTTGATGGCTGATCAGTGTCCCCTAGAGCTTAGAGTCTAGTGAATGTGGGAACTGACTTCCAAGAGTCCTCCAATATCCTTAAATTAAGGCCCAAATGATATACATACTTATTTCAACTTGATAATGTGCCAAAATTGTAAGCTAAGAGAGATACAAAGAAATCGAGACAAGGCTTCCTTCTTAAAAGGTTTATTTATCTGTTTGGAATAAAAGATAATTAAAAACTTAAATTCCAATGTAAGGTTTAAATAGCATCTTAGAGCAACTGCAAATGAAGCATCACAAGACAGAAAAGAATTCAAAGAGAAATTAGTTTTAGAGACGCTAAAGGAGCTAGTAGAGAGAGAAGAGCATTAAGTCAAGAGAGGCCTTACAGAGAAGTGTGTGTCCTGGGTGGAGGGAGATGGGCAGGAGGGACAGAGACTTAAGAGGTGGGGTGTGGGAAGCCAGGCTTGCCGGAGGCAGGGGTGTGGGGGACAGACGTCAGTGCTCCAGTTATCCCGCTGGAAGGCTCAGGGCTAGAAGGAAGCCTCTTAGAAACTACTGCCCTTGAGTGGAACAGCTCATAGGCCTTGGCATCATGACCACCACGCTAGCTTTAGTTTGCTATGGCAGGAGCAGCATGAACAACGGCACTTACCTTCTCCAAGGTGCTGGTGACCTCCCAACCGCTTCTGGATGCCAGGTTTTTGAGAGCCTCCACATTGGCATGGCTTAGGGATTCCTAAAATGCACAAAAATTTAAAACTGCATGTTCAATATATAAGCTTGGAGTCAGTCATTTTCTGTTTCAGTGTTGGAGGAGGTATAGATTGAGTCAAAGTTGAGTATAGCTAAGCTGTCTATTGCTAATGTATAACTTCTATCTCAAAGTCCAGACAAGGTAAGTATATGCTCATCAACTGTGTATGCTTCTAGTTGGTATCCTGAGCCCAAGCAGACACCCTTCAGTAGGACTTCTTACAACGTGTGTGCTAAGTAAACTTGGATCCCACATGAGATTTTATTATCAAAATGTTTAAATAACAAAATCTTCTTTTAAAAAATGTTTATTTTTATTTTATGTATATGGATATTTTGCCTGCATGTATGTCTCAGGTGTCTCAGTGCCTGTGGACGCTGGAAGAAGGCATCAACTCTCCTGGAACTGGACTTACAAACGGTTGTGACCCTCTGTGTGGCTGTGGGAATTAAACCCAGGCCCTCTGGAAGAGAGCCTCCAGTGCGCTTAACCAGCTCCCAGCCACAATCAATCCTTCTTGCTCTATAAAGGTTTAAGTTCATAAGTGTGTCATTCATTGCAAACCAGGGCAAGACACCAAGCTTGGAACATCCCACGCCAACTGTCCACGGAGTCACACCTGACAGTAGGACAACCAGGGGTTGATGACTTGCTTGACATCATTAGAAACAGGGGGTTACACAGTTCACCCTCTCGCCCCACCCCTGTAGATACAACCTGGACCTGTTGGGGAAGGTTTCTGCTTCTGGGATGGTGTGATATTTACATGAAGCATTCCAAAGTGCCACACTGTTACCTTTTTGTTTATATCCCATTGTGTGCTGGGGGGAGCTTCTTTTTTGTGGGAAATAACATATTTCCTGAAAAAAAATTAAGGGGTTAAGTAACAACTTTCTTCTCTCTGCTTTAATACAGGACCCATGATAATTTCTTGATTTGAAGTTGGCTGTTTAATAACAAGTTCTTTGGTAGGAGAATCAGGAAAAACCATTTCCAGATTGAGTCATTTTTAACTTTTAAGAAACCATTAAGCGCCTTTCTTTCCCATTATGTGGGAACAGGGCCCAGGCAGAGGCTCATCAGAGGGAGAGAAACCCATGAAGTCCTCAGGCTTTTATGTCCTTTACCTGCCCAGGCGAATTCTCCTTCTTGCGATAGCTCCCTGATAACGTCGCAGATCATCCTTTAAGAAAGAGCACAACCAGTCAATTTCTAATACGTCGGCACTACGGTCCTTGGGTATCCTTCCCCTAGGCTGACTGGGATTCTGTGTCTCTGAGATGCTTCCTCATGGGGTCTGAGCCTCTCAGCGAGTTGGACAGCTGTTTTCGTTTCTTTTTCAAGGTGGAGAGTTTTAAATTTCTGCTACTAAACTCATACAGATTTCACTCTGGAGTTTTTAGAAGAGATGAGCATTAGCACTAAGTTGATTCCCGGTTCAGAAAGACAGGTTGCCCATGAACGTGGCTCAGCATCAAGAACAGGACGCCCTAGACACGAGACACAGATTCAGAAAGAGGACGCAGGGAGACACCTGCTACACAGCAGCATCTGACTGTAAAGAGAGGTACAGCACCAGAGTGATGGGTGGAGAAGAGGAAAGAGCCCGCTGTACTTAGTTAGGCAGAGAAGAAAGCAAACCTCTTTGAGATACCTGGAGCTCTGTGCTCACAGGTCAGTGAAGCTCGCATGGTGACCACTGACCTTTGATATGGGTTGGATTCTGGGAAAGGTGATGATTTCCTCCTGATCATCAACAGCATTGTAAATAAGGAAAGCACTGTTGATGTGGCGGCCTCGGCCTTCGGCCCACTCCTGACAGTCAAAGGCCTCAACACGTACTCCAACCTCCACGCTGCAAGGGGGATTCAGGGCGGTGGGCAAGGAGGACTGTGGCATGGTCAGCCTCCCCTTCCACCAAGCAACAAGAGGACAAGGGCCCAGTCTTGCTCCTGTGATGTTAGCAAATCTGTAGAGCTGCCCAATGTCACTGTGAGGGTCTCGTAGGAGTGTCTGACTCAGCTTCCATTTTCCCTTCCCACGGGGACACACATCCATTGACATATTTAAGCTAATGGAGACAGTTGAGTTAAATTGTGCTCAAAACACATTTTCTTCCTTAAAAACAACACTTCTATGGTTAAAAAGCATGAAAGGCTGAAGTTAGGCAGAAAACAGAGATACTCTCTTTTCTGTTTTACATCTAAAACAGAAGAAAACCCTACATGGAGCCCTTTTTCTTTGCAACCGAGAATACCAAAACTAACTGGGGTGCAGACTGGACTCACTGCCGTAAACAACCAGCCCATGATGGATGCCGAAAGGAAGAACTAACAACTATGTTAGGATGGCAGGTACCAATTGGAACAATCCTGGGTCAGCTGGATTTCCCAGCACCCCAAGGGACAGAACAATCCATCACAGTTTCCTGAGTGTGAAGAGACCGCGGGCAGAACAGAACACTTAAGGATGTGTCCATACTGAGTGAGTCTAAAAATAACTGGATGGTGTTGTGGGGTAGCTCCTACCCTCATCTCACAGCTGAAAGAGAGCATTGTTTGCACCTGGCTCTGAATTGGCACAAGGAGCACACTTTACCTGTTCTGAAACGTGTTGTTAACTATGGCATTGAAGACAAGGCGGTCCCCAACCGTGGATGGTCCCCGGAATTTGAACATATCCACAGACTTCAGAAAGGGATGCCCATAACACAGACGACTGAGCAGACAAAGGGAAGAGAAAACAGGAGATGAACACCCTCCACGCAGTCTCAAACAATTGAGTCATTGGATGGCTCACTACACAAGCAAGCGACCTGTTTCTTAAGTAAACTACTCAAGAGGACTATGGGTAGAGATGTCCGAATACAGCCTCCGACATTTGGGGGAGCAAGGTGGATATTTAAGGAGGATGGTGGTTTTTTGACACTGGTTTGTCCTCTACAAAAATTGCCATCTGAGCGTCGTGTTCATCCTGACAGCTCCTGACAAAGGTCCCAGGACACTGTGATTGTGGATTGGGGTAGGACACAATGGGCTGACAACTACCGGCCAATCCTGACCACACTGTTTCTCAGGTTCCCCAGTCACTGAGTTTATCCAGAGGATTAAAAGCCAAATTTTCCCTTCATAGAAAAAATTGCCTGGATTGGTGCACAGAGCAAGGAAGGCTACAAAACACACATTTCAGTTTCCCATAACTTACAAAAAGGAAAACCACTTCACGCCACGTTCCCTGTGCCCTTATCCCCAGACAGCCCTGAGAACCTTGCAGAGATGGTTGCAACTGTCTCCATCCATGCCATAATCTGTCCACCAAACGTGTTTCCATGATGGTTTGCATGGGGTGGGAGGACAAGCTCGATGCTCTGAACGGAGGTGCCCATGGTGGTGGCTGTTCCTTCTTCATTGTTGCAAACAGGATCTGTGAGGTGACAGCAGAGACAGTGGGATCAGCCATGGAAAGTCCAGCCTTCCCTGGACTTTCCCTTCCCTGAAGCAAGCACAACTCCTTTTCAGAAAAATAACATTGTCTGTAAAACCTCGCATCAAGGATGTGAGTGGGCTCTGAAGAGTGGCCTTCCGTGGTCTTCCTCTGTAAAGCAGCTGCTCCTGCTGTTCTGGGTTGATGTCAGACAGGGGGCCCTTAAAGAAACAGGCAGTCTTCTAGGGCTTGGTGTCAATCCCAGTGTCTGGGACACAGATCTCTGTGAGTTCGAGGTCAGCCTGGTCTACAAAGCAAATTCCAGGACAGCCACGACTACACAGAGAAACCCAGTCTCAAAAAACCACACACACACACACACACACACACACACACACACACACCCTGGGGGTGGGGAGAGGTTCCCCACTTGTCAAGCAAATACACCAGAATTCTGATTAAAATAATGGTTCCATTTAAACTGGAACTTTCTGTGGTAGAAAGGAGTACAGAAAGGTAGACATTTTGATGATAATACGCCAGTCTTTTGATGGTAAGGGTAGTTTTACTGTTGTATACCTATGCACACACTCAAGTTACGGGCTTTAAATATAGACCATCTATCCTGTGTCAATTAACACTCAATATTTCACTAAAATAAGAGAATATGGGGTCGGAGGAGCCACTGACACTACATGAAGTCTCATAACCTGCAGCATGGGAATGTGGCCCCCTATGCACGGCCACAGGAGAAAAGATGCTTGTATCAGTGCCTCTCCCTGTGTCTTCTGTGATTTATAATCTCCTATGCACCATCACAGGAGAAAAGACCCACACATCACTCCCCACTTCCCTGTGTTCCCTGCTTCTTAGGACTCGGTTGTTTCATTTACAGGCAGGTAACAACACTTTCCACTTCTCACCAATGGAGAAAGCATTTGCTCTGGGTGCAAAGCAGAAATACACATTCAGCCTTGCTGTAGGCATCATTCGGTAATTCACGTGCTTCTGGGGGGAGCAGGGACCTACATCCCAGGGACTGAGCTGGGGTAGCAGAGCTCAGCAGGCAGTGTGTTTGTATAAACCCACTGTCACTCATATAAAGCAGGCTGTTCCAGGAGCTGTTTCTTCTAGTTGACCAGAGCGCCTTTAACACCACTTCCCAGTGAAGACCATCATAACTAGCTGATAATCTATTTCTTCTATCTTCTCCTTCTTTCTGTTGATCGTTTCAGCCCTTTGCCGAGAATGTGGAAAGAGCTCCCACTGTTCTAGGTGAACTCTCAGATCCCTCCTGTGACCTCCAGGCCCTCTCTTCCCTGGTCTAGCCTGTGTGACTATCAAACTCCCCAGCCAGGTTCCCTCTCATCGCTGTGATGTACATTGGTCTTTTATCAGCCACTGTGAAGAAACTGTCTTCAAACCCAGGGCCTCTCCACTCATCCATCTGTCTGCTGCACCCCACCCCACCTCCTACCAAGCCACGCCCACTTACCTCCTATTCTGTCTTGGCTCATCCATGTGCTCGCCCACATAGCAATGCCTTCTTTCTACATAAGCTCCCGGTAACTAGGGCTGGGAGATGGCTCTTTCAGCACAGCACAGGCTGCACAAACTGGAGGACCTGAGTTGGATCCCCTAGAGCTCACATTTTCAAGCCAGGTGCTGTGGTGTGACCCTATAACCCCAGGATTAGGGAGATGGAGTCAGGGGGGCTCCTGAGGCTAGTCTAGCTGAACCTGGAACCGGCGAGCTTCAGGCTCAGTAAGAGACCCTGTCTCAATAAAATTGAGGAAGAGAGTGATTGAGGAAACACTGCTATTCAGCTGCCTCCACATGCGTGTGTGTACATTTATGTGCAAGGCGGCATACACATATGCACATACACAAATAAGACATTGTGTGTGTGTGTGTAATGATGAGCCAGGCTCATCTCCGCAATACCAGCACTAATAAAGATTTGCAGAATGAATAAAGGAACTTCTTTGCTGATTCATTCCACGTTATGGTCCCTCCTCTCAGTAGAATTTTTTAAGGAAATGCTATGGTTGGTGTGGTAGTTTGGGTGTAATTGGCCCCCATAATCTCATAGGGAGTGGCACTACCAGGAGGTGTGGCTTTGTTGGAGGAAGTGTGTTACTGTAGGGGCAGACTTTGAGGTTTCGACTTCCTGATGTTGCCTGCAAGATGTAGTACTCTCAGCCATTCCTTCGGTACCACATCTGACTGCATGCTGCCATGTTCCCCATCATGATGATAACGGACTGAACCTCTGAAACTGTAAGTGAGCCAACCCAATTAAATGTTTTCTTTATAGGAGTTGCCATGGTCATGGTGTCTCTTGACTGCATTAAAACCCTAACTAAGACAGTCGGGTTGTACTGCCTCACACACCAAACTATCTACTGTTTAGGCTATGTCTCATTCCTCCCTCTTTTGATTAAACAGTATTAGCAACATGCAAGTTTTCCAAGCTAGTGGGTGTGAAAATGGTATCTCATGTTGGTTAAAATTTGCATTTCACTGAGTACTAATGAGGTCAACATTTTTTCATAAGTATGTTAAATATTCTTGTCATCTCTTAATTAAATGTGTGTCTCTACCATTTGCTTCAACCCCATCTCTGCAACTTCAGTTAAATGAGTGTTAGGTTCTCACCACACACACATACACACACACTCACACATAACATATATAATATACACACACAGACACTCACACATAACACATGCTCACACATAACATTTATATATCATACATATATATGTGGGGGGGTGAAGTTTCTTTATTTTGAGATGGAGTCTCAGCTCTGTAGCCTAGGCTGCTCTTAAACTCTGTAAATAGTCTTAGTCTGTTCTATGTCTTGCCTGGAAATTGTGGAAATCCCTGAAGCTGGGCTAGGTCCTTCTCCACAGCGGATATTTATATGCTGTTGCTGAAAACAGGGGGCCTAGAATACAGTTCACAGTGCACTAGAGGTCACATGATCTGCTTCCACACAGGCTACTGGTGGATATCGGGCACCAACTCTGCATGAAGATAAACTTGGAACTGGATTCTCAAAGGCAACGATTCCCCCTATGCCAACCAAAGCTAAAGCCAAGAGAGAAAGGCACCCCCTCCAGAAAGAAGGAGAGAATTTCTAGTGGAGAAATTCTCATGGAGAGTCCCTGTGGGGAACTGCAGCTCCCCATGATTTCCTGGTTCACCCCTCCACCTAAGACAAGTGCCTGACTCTTCCCCCTGTGGCTTTGGGTACCTGCAGTTCCCAGAACCAGTGCCTGACAGGTTGAGCACAGCCTCTCTCTGCTTCTTTGGTGTTCTCAAGTCATTGTCGACATAGCTGCTTTCTCTTCCTTTCTGACTGCTGAGACAGATTTGCAAACAAACTGTAGATTTTCCCCAGACATCAAGTCTATCACATTGCTGTAAACAAAACTGGCTTTGTTTTCTGGATGATTATTTTTCAAGACATGTCAAATCTTAACCCCTTCTAACTTCTATTTATTTTTAATTTTCTAACTGTTTTTCTGGAATGGGATCTTGTGCTGTGCAGGCCGGCTTGGAACTCCCGAGTTCAAGCAGTCGCTTTGCCTCAGCCTCGAGAGCATCTGGGATTCAGGTGCACGCCACCGTACTCTGCTCTCTGATTGCAAATCTGATCTTGTTAGATGAGATTCTAAAAACATGATGAGTTAGTGCTGATTGAGATATTTTCAGTTTACTATCGCTTGTCCAAATGACATATTTTTGTGCAGAAGAAAATATTAACTTGGTATTAGAAACTATCTATAAACTATATTATAAAATAACATTCTCAGCGTTTAATTCTTCTCTTACCAGAACATGTGGATGAATGTGTAGCACAGATGGGAGAAAGATTTATGTCTTTTAACTGTATGCCTTCTCACTTTGTAAATCCCTTATCCTACACATGTACTATCTATTTTTAAATGATTATGAAACAATTACAAAAGAAAAATTAATAGAAGATCTTAGAATCTGACAGATGATGTTTAAAAAAACACCATCTTTTCTGAGGGGAAACTAAGAAAAAAAAAGGTCACTAACATCTATGAAGACATGGGCAGCGCACAAAGATCACTGGGAAATCACTCCTTGGTCAGGTTAGACACATACAGGCATCAGCCATGGCGTGCATGCCAACGTGGACTCAGGATAAGTACCTTTTGTGTGGAAGTGTGTCTCCTTGCACATAACTTAAGAGCTTCCTCGGGTGCAGAGAACATTTCTAGATCGCTGCCCTTACTAGAGCTAACTGTAAACAGACCTCGTTCTGCGAGCCAAGTGATCAAGTTCTGCTGTTGTCTGTTGGGCACTCTGAAGCTGTTATTTCACCGTTTCACTTGCTTGATTTCACATTTGTCCTCTGTATTTGATCAGAAACTTTGACCTGAATTCAGGTTGCTTTCTTCTAGCTCTTGTTTTCATTCTGCACACCCGGAGAGGTTCAACCAGGACAATGCTCTGACGATCTCATTTTCTACTGACAAATTACGATCGAAATAGCTCAAACTCTAATCCCTTTCCCTAGTGATCCAGTGGTACAGTAACACATTTCAACCATCCTTTACAAACTTAATCTCCTATTTACTGCTTTGCTTGTGAAAACATAGAGTCTGGAATCAACTTTCTCAATATTCTATCAATACTCATTTCTACCATGTAACATCTCAAAGGGCAAAGACTGCATAATCAGTCTGACGATATAGATCCCTTAGTTCAGTGGTTCTCAGCCTTCCTAATGAGTGACTCTTTAATACAGTTCCTCAGGTTTTGATGATTCCCCCCACCCATAAAATTACTTTTGTTGCTACCTCATAGCTGTAATTTTGATACTGTTATGAATCATAATATAAATATTTGATGTACAACCCCTGTGAAAAGGTCATTTGACTCTGGGGGTTGTGACCCACAGGTTGAGAACCACTGCCTCCGTCCACTGATGATGACCTGTCTACCTTCTTTTAGAATATGTTTTCTAATCAAAACCAGCCTCTCTGAGACCTAGGGGACAGGGAGTGGACAGACCACATGTGCTATCACTGCCCATTGTTCTTTCTTTAAGAAAACTGTCTCTAAGTTCCATGGTATCATTGGTGACATGGAAGCTAGTAATATTTCCCAAATGAAGATCAGATTGATATGATAGAGATAGATGAAAAGTTGCTTTATTGAAAAGAATATAGGACAATCTGTGTTAGGATAGATTAAATCAAATAGTGAGAAAAACTTTTTCAAAATCTGCAATTCCAAATTGAAGCAAACATATGGATCTGCTCTGATCAGCCTCCAAGGAAAATTAAACAGCAACGAAACTAAACAGCAACGAAATTTGTTTAACTCATCTTCTCCTCCTTCAATCGGTCTTACTGGACCCCCTAAGGTTCTCCCCAAGGCCCACAGACCTGGAGTCTGCACTTCTTTAATCACTACCTACATTATTCCGGAACTATTCATGCACACAATATTAGGGTTGAGCTATCAAGTGCAAAGACCTTGTATTATTCATCTTTTTGCCTCTTATAACAAGCATGTTCCTTGTACATGGTAGGCGTGTAATACATCTGTACTAGATGGGACTAAGCAGTTGATGTGTTCTTTCTGCCTTGATACTGAGAAGGAAGGAGCCAGACATTTAAAAGGCAGTATATGATCTCATCCATAATCACACATTCCATTTCTCCAGTAAGTACCAGACCATCTGTCCAGCCCCTTGCTCAGCCCAGAGATGCCTTTTCCTTACTAGACCTCTTGCTCTAGAGTTCTCAAGTTAAAACACTGGAAAATGATGCATGAGCCACAGATGTCAAAGCGATGACTGAAGAAGGTAAAGCAAATTCTTGCAAGGTCCGGAATAAATGCGCACAGACATCAGACTTCCCTTCTGAAATTACCAAAGAACCTTGTGTACATTCCCTTTAGAAACCCAGGTGATGGAACTGCAGTAAGGACAGAGGCATTTTTTTTGAAGGATTATGTGGCTAGGCAGGGGGACTGTACAGACTCATTAAGAGCAATATTAACCACGGGCATTTCCCTGAGTTAAGACTGAAGCAGATGTGAGGGTCTTTGTCATCTCACGTCCTTCCTGGAGCTTTGGTGGCTAGAAGACAAGGTGGACATGGATTGATTGCCTGTTTCCTTTTGTTTTTAAGTAATAGTCTTCTAATCTGCCCTAAGAATATTCTCAGGGTTCAACTATTTCAGTCCTTAGGAAAAAATGCATCTTCAAACCAAGACCATCTTTTCAAAGAAAGACATTATTCTAAGTCTGGTAAATTTAAAGATGAAGTCTCTGCTTCCATAAGTGATATTATTGCCCTACCGATATTCAGGAACTGGAAAGTACATCAGCATGCATGCCCTTTATTCTTAAAGCCGAGTGCTACTTCAATAATGCCCACACCAACCATCCCAATCAGCCTTGAATCATGACCAAGTTTTTCTCTCCTGGAAAACAATGCCACTGACCTTGAGGGCCCTGCAGACTGAACTAGAACCTTGAACTTCTTCTCAAGGTAGAAGTCTTGGAAAATCTCTCCTACCCAGTGGGCTTCTGTAGGGTTGTCCTGCAACCCTAATAATGCCCCCTGTCCAGCATGAGGCTTCCATGTGTCTGATACTCTACCTCCTCTTCTCAACTCTGGTCTTTGCCTGCCCTCTTTGTTCTGGCCCTTCTCATCCTGTTCTCACCTATTCCCGTCCTCTTCTGCCCTTTCTCTTTTTCCTCTCCCTCCTTCCAGGTCAGGGAGTTGGAACTTCTGCTGGCTTCTCCAACCACCCGGATTGGCTTGCTTCATCTCCTCTTCCACACTATGTTCTCTCTTGGAATTCGGAGATGGAGTTAAAGAGAAAGATCGAAGAGTTAGGAGGGGAACTACGACAGCAAAGAGCTTGGGAAACTGCTGAGGTCAAGTGTCAGAGTGGAAGTCACTAGGGAATATAATTAACTCTTTCCCTTCCATTCTCATCACAGGAGTCTTCCAGCAGGCATCTTTCCGCTTGGAGTTTCCTTTGGTGTTGAGAAGATACATGGCTCACATGAAGCCCTGGATGAGAAAGAGCTTAGTGACCTGTGAAGTTTCCTATCAACGTGCCCTGGCCGCCACCCCTACTTCACCCATGCTACTAAGGGCTTGCTCTCTAACAATCACCAAGACTTCATCTCCTGTCCCCCACTTCCTCCTCCAGAGGAATTCCAGCCTAGAGGCCTAGATCACCACGCGTAGTCTGAATGTTCAGTCCTCTTCCTCTCTACTGCCTAGGTATGTCAGAAAACGGATCTCGCATCAGCCACCCCACACTGTGCGTCATGACGCAGTTTCTGAGCGTAGGTTGACTCACCATCCAACCGGCTGCTCTCCTTCATGATGCTGTTGAAGGTGCTTTCGTGCTGCAGGCGGACTTTCCTTCTCTCCGCAGCCAGAGTGTATTCTACCTGCTCTTGCTCCGTTTGAAGCGGGACAGGTTTTAAATGGACCTGGAGGAAGAAAGTTTATCTTTGGAGCTGTCCTTCGCTGCTTCCTTCAAGGGCAGGTGCCCGGTGCGAGTTTTGCAATAGCAGAAGACAAACCGTATGCTTTTAACTCAAGTAAGGAGAGCATTTACGGGTGTTTCCGTGAAACATGCTGCTGAAAAGCCTTCCTCAGATTTCTTCAACTAAAAGACCAAACCAGGCTTTGTTAGTTCTCATTTGAAAGACACCTTTGTTTGTTTTCCTAATTTTATAAGTTTTCTGTGGAATGATAGAATCTAGGAGAGCTTTTGCCTTGTCGTATTGTACCGTGTGTTGTCCTGTTTGGCTGTTGTCTCTTGGAGGCCTGCTCTTTTCTGAGGAGGAAATGGAGGGGAAGTGGACACCGAGTATAGGGCAGATGTGGGGAGCTCAGAGGAGTGGGGGAAGGGAAAATCGTGGTCAGAATGTATTGTATGAGAGACGAATCTATTTTCAGTGAAAATACATTCTATAAATATGAAATCAACAAATTAAGGTGTGGTACTATAATTCCCCTGGATTTTTATTGATATTGTTCCTATCTCTTTACAAAATTGAGACATTAAGGGGAGGTAATAAGGGTATTCTAGATGGAACTCTCTTGTACCAAGAGATATTCCTAATTTGGAAATTTCATCACATGGTCAAAACAGTGCCTAGTAGAACAGAAAGGATCAGGATGTCAGTGTAATCTTCAGCTGCACTCCAGAAACCTGGGAGGCAGCGTCCAGGCTCCAGCTCCCCGACAGACGCCCCTGTCCTGGTTCTGTGTGTGAAAGGTCTTGGCAGCTCCAGGATCCCTTTGGTCTGAACCTGACCCTTTACCCAGATAAGGGTGAAAAAAATCTCGTGACTCATCATTTGCTGTTTAAAGTCCAAGAGTCCCGGAATTGCCCATCTCATGTAACAGGGATGTGCAGAGAGACAGTGACTCTTTGCAATGTCACGTTTTGGCTGCATGATCAGCAGAATCTAACCTTAGGTAACCTAAGGACATTTGTACCTCGCTCCTCTGAAAAGAAGACCCTTGAATCCATCATGATGATTCCTGTTACACGAAGTACATTTGTGTGTTTGAAAATAAACTTGAGAGCAAGTGCTGCCTGGAAGGTGAAGCCCTCTGAAGGTCCCTGTTCCTTCCTTCCTATGCTTCCTTCCTTCCACACAGTCTAGTCTTGTGGACCTTTCTAATTACTTGGCCTGTGCAATGGTTGAATCAAACCTTGTTAATCATTGATAGTTTTATCCTGGGATGAACTCACTTTGGACAGAGATCCTGGTATTTCTTGTGGTTCAAACCAAGCCACAGCCTTTCATGCCTCTCCACGTGAGGGGGTACCAAATAAGAAGGTACCAACTGGAAGGTACCAGCTGATCAGGAAAAGGTGCTTCACAGTTTATGTTGACTGAAGTAGCCAGTTGTTGGAGCACCATAAGGTAGCTGGCTTCTCAGAATGGCTCTTGGAAGCCAGTTCTTGTCTCTGTAGAGATGGGACTTAGGTGTGCCAACATGTGCCTACTCCACTTGTTACTGAATCCAGAATGAGAAGTATGAGGCCAGAGGGGGAAAAGATGGCCTCTGTGTACGGATGCTTCCTCATGAAGCAAAGGATGCTGATGTATCCTCTGGTCATTTGCTGTCAAGTATGCGAACTCTGTACCCACCCCCATAGCATTCTCATTGGGAAAAGTCTAAAAGCTTTCGAGAGAATCAAGAAGAAACTAAAGGTTGGCAGGATCTCTCTCACTGCTTGGATTTTCATGAATGCAAGGATTCTCTAATGCTTTGTCAATGACTTGCTAGGCCCAACTTATATCCAAGGAAGCTACATCTTTTTATTTTCTAGATAATATAATTAGCAGCTGTGCACTTGAGTTGTGATGGAGGTGGGTCTTGTATTTATCTGTTGCTTTCATTGGTTAATTAATAAAGAAAACTGCTTGGCCCTAATAGGACAGAAAATTAGGTAGGCAGAGTAGACAGAACAGAATGCTGGGAGAAAGAAGCAGATTCATGGAGTCGCCATGATTCTCCCACTCCAGACAGATGCAGGTTAAGATCTTCCCTGGTAAGCCACTTTGTGGGCTACACAGATTACTAGAAATGGGTTAGATCAATATGTAAGAGCTAGCCAATAAGAGGCTGGAACTAATGGGCCAGGCAGTGTTTAAAAGAATGCAGTTTTCGTGTAATTATTTCGGGTAAAGCTAGCCGGGTGGCGGGCCACAGCCCGCAGCTAATATTACAACAGAGTTGGGAAAGCAGCACCCTTCAGCAATGGGAATTTGCCTGCTGCACATTTAATATGAGGTCTGTGTTACAGAAAGTACTCCAGGTGCCAGAAGTCTGTGGGGTCACCTGCCAGCTAAGCATGGTGATGATCTAGCCCAGCTGTGCTATTGAGCTAGGTTTAGAGCAGCTACAAAGTATGGTTCAGTGGCCACCTTTGCTGGCTGCCGGGGAAGCATAGCTTTGTCCAAGCTATGTTGGCACTGGAGGCACTGTGGGGAAAATCTCAGGCAAGGAGGAGGAGTGAGCAGTAGACCTTGTCATTGGCCAGTGTTTAGGAGAAGCCATGTTTGCCTACCTTTGATCATTCCGCAATGAAATACTTAGATTATAATTTGAATTATTGCATTTTCACATGCGTTGATTTCCCCTAGGTATCCTAGCTCTAAGTAGAAGCAACAGAAAGGAAATTTGGGCATTCCACATTGAGGTAGATCTGGGCTCTGGTTGGGTGGGAGCTGAGCAACGTACAAAGACACAGTTCTTCTTTCAAGGATGTTTCAGCCCAGATGCCCTGAAGTTTATTTTTAAACTCTGCTAACTCAGCAGCTTTGATACTTTCCTGAAGGTCTAAAAAATGATTGGACCATGACTTTCAATTACTTTCCAAATTTTTCCTGACTAAAAAAAATGTTTGACTTAATTTTGAACTCCATAACCAAAAAAAGAACTAACCCAGTAAACAATATTTTAAAGAAGTAGATATGATTTCCAGATAATTTAAAAAACCGTTTTTCCTCTTTCATGAATTTGGTACATTTTCTTTAAGGCATTCCTCTCAAAAGAGCTTCCTATTCCATTCTATGATGTCGCCATAGAATAATAGCAATAAATATCAATGAATGAAAACCTTGAGGAAGTGAGTCCCCTCTCTCTCTCTCTCTCTCTCTCTCTCTCTCTCTCTCTCTCTCTCTCTTTGGTTTTTTGAGACAGGGTTTCTCTGTATAGCTTTGGTTGGAGCCTGTCCTGGAACTAGTTCTTGTAGACCAGGCTGTCCTCGAACTCACAGAGATCTGCCTGCCCCTGCCTCCCGAGTGCTGGGATTATTGGCATGCACCACCACTGCCCGGCAGAAGAAGTGAATCTTATAGTAAGAAGAAACCAATTCTAACACAGTCATTCCTGTGCGCTGGCTTACGAGAAGGATACCTGTTCACATGGAAAATTTACCTTTTCTTTTCCGACTGGTTTAACAACAAAGGTAGAGAAAGCCACACAGAGGAGCTTCTCGGCGCCAGTGAACTTGTCCTGTACTATGACCTTGATACTGATCTGAAGGACAGAAAAGCAAACCATCAGTCATCCAGATAACAGATTCAGCTGCGGCATGCAAGATACAGCTACACACTTTTCCAATCCTGCCTTCCGGTTTTTAAATGACATCAGCATTTTAACTTATTTTTAAGTGGCACTATCATTTCAATGATGATCTCTAAACTATGACAAATGGAACTCTTCTGTATGTGGGGACACGTACACTTGCCATGAAATATATGTGGGCTCTAGCTATCTAGGCCAAGTTATAACAGACTCATCATGCAGGGGAAATACTTATTAACTTTTAGGTTAATTTTCTTCTAGTTACACATGTTATATACAATATAATATTACATAATACGCACACCCTTATATGTAATATTGCATGTATGTTTTACAAATGTATATATGAGGTACATATTAATGTTTACATACATTATAAATTTATCATGTTGCATTTGAAGTCCTATATTCTAATTCTAGTTTGTCTTGCTATAATAAGCATTTTGAAATCATATTATAAGTGAATGTTCTCTCAAGAACAAGACGGCCTGCAAGAGAGAGGAACTCTAACTATTTTTAACCATTAGTCATTACATTTTATACCTTATGATAATGGGGCAGAACTGCTACGTTAGCTGTGGCTCGGTTTCCTCAGTTTGGTTTTTCTGGGGCAGTCAGCGAGTGACTGAGGCATTCTGTAAGGAGTCTACAGTGGGTGGCTCTCCCTCCGTGTGAAGAGCCTGAAGCTGGCTTTGCAGTCTTTGGATTTGGACTAAAAACACTCTCCTCATATCTTGCCCAGGTGAGTAACACTGCCTTCTGAGGATAATGGGCAAGCTGGGGCATCTCAGTTCAGCACAGAGTAATGAATGATAAAGTGCATGTATTTCTACATCCTCACCAGGAACACTGTGTACAAAAACAATCAATAATCCATGACTCACTTTCAGTCTCTTAATTTGAAACAGAAATTTGTATTTGCATGGTAAATCTCAATTTGACTGGATGGTAATGAATCCAACACGAACCAATTATTCTTCACCTCTACAAAAAAGCCCTCACCCACGTGGATGTTCACATTAGAGAAATACACAAGAAAGAAAAAAATAAAATATCAAACAAGAAAAGTCTAGCTATAACTCTGGAGTGTTAAAGTTCAGACACTATCAGCTACCAGGACAGTTGACTGAGGTGTATAATGGACCGATGTGTCAGGGCCATGGCATGGGGAGTTCACTAGGTAAGGGAAGAGTAGGTAAGACTGGAATTACACTCTATGTAAAGAAAAATAAAACTAGATAAGGTATAGGAAGCAACTATTTCTACATAAGGGGAAACAGGTGACGAGGGGCGATGATGCCCCAGGACAGGAAAGCAAATGAAAGGAACATAACATTTCCTCTCATCTTGAAGGTGACAGTAGGAAAGGGAAACCCATCTCATCTGAGCTGAAGAAGCAGAGATCAAACAGATCAGGGATCTGGGATTTGTTGGGCAGGGTACCAGAAAAGAGAGATACATACATAAAGAGAGAATTCTGGGAATGTGCATGTGATCTCCATAGGTCTAGACGTAGGGTTGATACCAAACTGTGCATGCACACCACGAATCTCACGGAACCAGACCAGAATAACTTCGGAGGAAACCGCATCACACTCGGGAGCTGTCAAGTGAACACCTCCGGACCTCGCACACTGCTAGGAATCTTCTGAGTTCTCCCTAGTTAGACCTCCCCAAGCCCAAGACTTCCACAGAGTCCACAAAAGACTGCTTCCTTCAAGAGGCACCAATTGCCTCTGGTAGCTTTATTGCCTAGCTGGCATTGCAGAGGACATGTATGTCGGAGATCCAGACACACAGTTTGGGTAACAGTATTGTAAGAAGAAGTAAGAACTAGAATCCATAGTTTGCAAAACCCACACACAAAGACACCCTTCCCTCTTGCATGTTAACTTTGTGTGTATCCTTCTGTGGCATCTGGTGTCACCGTGAATGTGAGTGGGGACATCAGTTCCTTAGCATTCACCTACTGTGCGTCTGACACAGATTTAAGGCTTTCTGAAATTCAGGATCCTTTCTAGGCATCCCCCTTTGTGTTCTGAAGGCAGTGAATGTAACATGAAGGACCAGGCCTGCTTGTTTGGGTTTTTACCCTGCCCAGCTCCCCACAACTGTTTAGCCCCAAAGAAAATCACACATAGGTCTCCATAAACTATAAGCTGATTGGCCCATTAGCTCTAGCCTCTCACTGGCTAACTCTCACATCTTGATTAACCAATTTTCCTGATCTATGTTAGCCCTGTGGCTCAGTACCTTTTTTCAGTGGGGCAGATCACATCCTGCTGCTTCAGTGGTCTGGGCAGGAGTGGGAGGAATCAACTTCCTCCTTCCCAGAATTCTCCTGTTCTCATTACATCATTTCTACTTCCTGTTTGGTTTTCCCGCCTATATTTCCTGCCTGGCTAATCAGTGTTTATTTAAAACATGATTGACAGAATACAGACAATTCTCCCGCACCAAGTGAAGATGCCCCTTTAGCAGGTGTCCCTAAAGAAAGGATGCCACTCACCTCCATGCTTGTGCTGAATGCTCTGGTCACTTTTGCTCGGATGGTAATAATTTGTCCAATTCTGTTGTTGTAAAAGAAAGACAGGTCTCAGCAATCCTAGCGCATTTCATTTTAGACTTAGAGATTTTGGTAGACACACGTGGCATAAAGCAATTCCGCCTTTACCTGCTGATAATGCTTATTCACGGAAAACTTGGGCTAAAGCTAATAGCAAAGACAGGCCTTCAGGATAGATGTTAACCACTTAAATCATGCTTATAACGCTAAGAGACTTCTCGCTACTCAATCAGAAAAGAGCTTTGGCAAGGACACTGTACAAGGTGACCCTATTTGCAATAGACACTTTTTGCATATAGCCACTAATCCCCATATAAATTCAGATAAGCACACAGGCAGAACTGTACCACTGATGCTTACTTTAAAACATTAACTAATAAACAAACAGACCAGCAAACATAAAGGAAAAAGTCAGCTTGCTAGGTAGACATGAGCCCTAAGAGCCGTTCCTCATCCCACCCACCCACCCACCCCTGCTATTGGAACTCTGAAAACTTTGAGGTCAAGTCTTTGGGTCACCGATCCCTTCATCTTAGGGGAAAGTAAGAGATGCCCAACGTAGGATCCTTTGCTTCCCCATCCCACCAGACTCCATCTGAACTACTTTGTCGCGGCTCACTCTATCTTGTATTTGTGTGCTCTACCCCACCTCATGGCCTTGTCTAATTACAGGCAGTGTTGTTAGGCCTTCCCCCCTTAACTTTCCACCTCTCTGTTCTGCCTGACTTTCTCAGGCAATGAAAATATTTAAGGTTTCTCCTTCTAAAATCTTTTTTCAACTCTAGTTTATTTACAGATTCGACTTTCCGGGAAGAATCACTGGTCTTTCTAGTTCATACTGCTCACTGAGTTCTGACTAATGGTGGCATTGAACTAAAAGTGTAATCGATGAGCCAGGGCTTCTGGGCTTGACAAGGCAAGGTTGTCTTGGGGACATAGGTCCAACAGCATAGAAAGGAATGATTGAAAATTCACCGACAACAGAAACCTTTGTCATTAAATGAAATACTGTTTCTCACTGTGGCCACAGCAGTGACAAAATGAATTCCTTCTGAGTGCTGTGCACAAACCAAGGCAGTATGCCAAATGCTCTGAGTCAAAGGAGACAGCATGCCACTCACCGAGCAACCACCCTGTGAGGTCAACGTGGTGATTCCTATTTCCCTCTCAACAGTGATGTAGTTAGCAACTAGCTGGGCCAGAGTTCAAACCCTGGTCTTATCTGAGTTCAAAGCCGTGGACACATGGTTGTCTTGGGCTCCTAGGAAGGGTAGCAATCAGTTCTACTTTAATCACAGTGCAGAGGCTCATTCAGTCCATGAGGTAAGTCAGCTGCTTTTCCTGGAAGAGTGGCCGTATCTAATCAATGCTTTTGTGTACAATCTGAGGCCCTGTACACTGTGTCTCTCATAATCTGTAGCAATACAGTCAGGAAAAGTAGTAGGGGAAGGAATTCACATTCTGAACAAATCAGTATTTTAGTATCCTTTAAAAAATGTTTAGATTAATCTGATTGATTTAGAAACGGATGAAAGTCATACAAGAATCTTCAGAGAGAGGATTTAGGAAATGTTTAATAAAACGGCCTATGCATTTGCATTTTGATGAAGCTGTTCTGTTTTTAGGGATCTTATCCCAAAATTCACTAGCAAAAAAATATGAATACACGCCATGTAAAGCCATATATTTAGGCATTCCCTGTAATAGCAAAAACAATTCAGTCTTTACTGATGGGTACTCACTGAGTTAGGGATCCGAATGTGAGCATGAGAGTTCCTACTAACACGGCGAACAACCGTGTGCATTGCTCTAGAACGGTTTTCTGGGTGAACTCATACGGGAAAGGTGGAGAAAGTGATATATACTGGAATTTATTTTTAAGGAATGTGAATAAATTCTCAATTATATTTAATGTAAAGGGGTAGTTATCGGATAAAAGGGTGGACACTTAATAGACAGGAGGAAGTCTTGGGAGCAGCGAGAGAGAAACAGAGTTTCCCAGAGTGAAACGTCTCTTTCCACATTTGAGCCTCCTGATTGTGTTTTAAATGACAAATCAGATACCTACAAAAAAAAATGCAGTCTTAGAACACAGAAAGCAGTTGGCCTGGACCCTGTTCACATGGTAGTTTAGCCCACCTGGAGAAGAGTTCTCTGAGTAACTTCAAATGCGGGGCTTGTGGCTACGTGATGAGCATCTGCTGAATTACTTACAAACTATGACTGGAATTTGCTTCAGAATAATTCACATACGGGAAAGACCACCAAGGGATATGAACACATGAGGGCTGATCATACGCACAGGCTGGTGGTGAGTTCTTGGGATACACCACACTGTTCTCGCTAATTTTATTGTCTAACTTGACGTTCTCTCCGATCAGGGCTGCTAGAACATACACGCACTCTGACATATGAAACGTCCCTTAAAATGTACTGTATTTACACACGAGTTAGAGTTGGCACCACACCAATACAGATACTTATTATCATCTGTCACGTAGGAAAAGGAGCCATTAGAGACAGAGTGATAGAAGGCGTGCGTGCGTGACATCACACAGCATCTAACGCTGAGAGTAACTGAACACAGCTAATACTGTGTGGGTGCTGAGGACAATGATGACCAGGGACCCCAGGATAGAGCCAAGTGCTTCTGGTTTTCTAAGAAACGCGACCAATGACTCCAGATGACTAAGGTGCAATAAACATGGACTGCAAATGAGCCAGAAACCTGCCGGGAGTGACGAGGGGAGCACCCTTACCTGGCCGTGTCCTCAAACAGAATGTCGTCCATTGAGGCAGTGACGCAGGAAATCCCGGCATGTTTTTCAGCTTCAAAACACAGGTAAAGGAAGGCCATGTTAGTAGCTGTGACTGAATGTTTTTTCAAAGGGAAGAAGGGAGAAACTGAAGTCGATCTGTTTTAGTAACACATCCGCTCACTCACTATAGCACCCCAGTGCCCCCCCTCACACACAGAAGCACAGTATGGCCTGTACTTACAGGCAGGCATTTGCTCTGTAATTGTTTCCACTGGGTGATGGAACTGTTCTCTCTCCTGAATTTTAACTTAGGAATCTCCAGCTTGAACTTTAAAACCAATACTCGGAAAACTGGCAACTGTTAAAAGTAACAATTTTAGCAAGCTTTTGGTGACTCTAAATGTTGTTAGATTACCATCAAACTATTGTCGTTCTTTTGTTTTATAAATGAACATCAGAGCTACATCCACTGTCTTGCCTAGCTTGTAGCTGCATATACTTAAATCACTAATGATTGTGAGCAGGGAGCGGTCTGGGAGCCCTTGAGACACCTCCCACATCAGAGGGGGATGTCTCCGGGAATCAGGGACACACAGGAAGCAGGCAGGCTGTGCTCATCACTTATTACCAAACTGACCAATCATGACAATGTTGTAGAAGGAGAGAGTTGGTGAGGAGGCACTCGACCTTTTCCATGGTCTCTATCTGCCCACAATTGCTTTAATTATTGGTTTTGCTTGACGTAAAAACACCAGAATTCATGCTATCTGGAAAAGATTTTATTCTTCTTTTGTTCTTGTTTTGTTTTTTTGTTTGTTTGTTTGGTTTGGTTTTTTGAGACGGGGTTTCTCTGTGTAACAGTCCAGTTAGCTGTCCTGGAACTAGCTCTTATAGACCAGGCTGGCCCTGAACTCACAGTGATCCACCTGCCTCTGCCTTCCGAGTGCTGGGACTAAAGGCGTGTGCCACCACCACCTGGATGCTATTTGGAAAAGATTTTGATGTGTGTTTCTGCCAGTAGAGGAAGTCAGTCAAAATCCAAACAGATTTTCATTGACCTTTTTTGTTTTCTTTTGAGAGAAAGTCTTTCTGTACAGGCTAGAATGGCCAAGAACTCACTTTGCAGCCCAAAATGACCTCCGGTACATTCTCTCCCTCTCTCTCTCTCTCTCTCTCTCTCTCTCTCACACACACACACACACACACACACACACACACACACACACACGCATGCACACCATGCACCGGGGCAGCTCCGAGTGCTATGTTTTCTGGTGAGCATCACCTTGCTTGGCTTACTGGTTTTGATTAAGAAACTTAAGCTTCATTCTTAAACTCAAAGGCATCACGGCTGACACACATTATAGAGGTGACAGTGAATTAAACCAAATTCTTGTACATTGATGTAATGGATTACAATATAAGTACCAATTGATCATCTCAGATAAAAGGAGGTGAGAAATTAACCATTTAGAACTCTGTGTAAGAGCAATGGGCAGGGAAGAGGCTTTGTTAGTTACAAAACAAGCCAGTGATGAGACAGGATATAAAGTGTCAAACTCTCAGCCTCTTCAGAGTGGGCTCAGCTTAAGGCCAGTAGAGCAAACAGGAGGGGTGCTTGGCTGATTTCTAGGTATCGAGCAGGGTCAGTGTCATTTTTTTTTACCAGTCTGGCTAGGGGCTATTATAGATCATTTCTGAGTCAAATCCTTAGAGCTGCTATTTTTCCGGAGAAGTACTGAATGTTCTCAAAAACAAACAATAAAACATTGACAAAAGAGTACCTAGCAAACACCCAGTGCACGAAGGGACAGGTTGTTAACTTAGAGTGTTCTTATTAACAGAGTATGATTGTGTACACCAATGCGACTTGCCAGATTTAAGAGATTGAATAATAATGTTAATGTCACCAATAGGAACATAGGGCTGCATTACATTTTCCAGGGGGCTACTATGCTTACAGAGCTGAGGGCTAGACCGTAGGAAGGACCAGGGAGAGTCAGCAGCAGGTAACAGCATTTACTAAGCACTTCTCACTGGCCATGCACCAAGCCATGCATGTCAATCACAGAAGGCTGGTACTATTACTGGTTCCATCTTAAATGAAAACATTTAATCCTAGACAGATTCAAATGATTGTTCTAGTGGTTTTTGACTACATAAAATAGGAAATCAAGAAAAGAGTTGGATAGAAGAAGCCCAGACAGCTATCAGAGAGTGCCTCACTGAATGTGGACCCCAGCAGCCATACTTTCTACTACAAACCTGCAGGAACCAATAACAAAGAAGATAAAGATATGAGTAGTCAGCATAAGGTCCCTTGCTTTTGGACATGACTATGTGTTGTCTTTTCTTCATTTTTCAAGTATGCCAGTAAGATGGCATGAATTCAAAAGAACCGGTTGTCCTTATCCTTACATTTAGATCGCCCTTCCTACTTTCTCACAGTAGAAAAACTTAGTGATATTGCTGATTACCTAGGGAAAGTTGGAAACAGATTAGCAGAGTGATGACAGAATAAGCCAAGGTGTCCACGTAGAGGGCTCTTGAGCCCAGATCTGAGCTGTAGTGGGGCAGATGGGAGAGGAGAGCGGAAAGGAAGGCTGCTGAGGAGACAGAACAGTGATTCCAGCGAGCCTGTGGCTAGAACGGAGACACAAGGAAGAGGGCTGAGATGGAGCTAGAGGGAAGGCCGAGAATAGATCCTGAAGAGGCCTGGAGGCTCTTGCTTGTCATCGTTTTAGAGCTGTTATTATTAGATATTGTTCATTGTCTTCTGATCTCTGCTGTGACCATTTGGCTGCAAACTCTAATGCACTTGGGACGATGAGGTATCTGCTGTTGCTAATGAGGTCGGTCGTAATTTTAGTCATTGCTCTCCTACACTGAGTGCAACCTTTCTGGTTGCTTTTAAGCATATCTGATTATAATATGCCTATGTATTATAATTTTTAAATTAATCTTGATTGGTGTTCTATGGATTCTAGAATCTGTATTCTTTTCAGAATGTTTGGGGGAAATTAAAGCCATTCTTCTCTGATTAGGGGCGAGTTTGTCCTACTTTCGTCTTTGGGGACTTTATACAGACCTAAAAGCTTTGTTTTCTTTTTTCATGACTGTATGAGACTTTGTATATGTGTGTATGGTGCCGGGGATTTAATTCTGACCTCGTGCATGCTAGGCAAGTGTGCTATACCATTGGCCCATAACCCCATTTTTGGTTGTTTGCAAGATCAGATAATTTATACTGATATATTTTCACATTTGCTAACTTTTTCCCCAACCATCTTCAATCTGTAGTGAAGGTTAACTAGTATATTTTAAATTTTATGTTAGTTTTCAGCTATTGACTTTCCATGCTGTTTCCCATAAGACACTTTCTATTTCTCTTTTTGAGGTTTATTGCCTTTTTTTGTTCTTTACAATAATATTATCAATTTCCTTGATATGATTATGATAGCTGCATTCAAGTCCCTGAATTTTAATTCCAGCATCAGTGTCATTTGTAGATTGGTCTATTGATAATCTTTGGAGAATGAATTCTGTTTGCCTGCTTATTTCTGTGTCCCTGTTCTCTATTATCTCCAAGCTCTCGTTGGTTTATTGTTGAAATAGTGGGTTCTGATGAGCTCTTTGAAAAGGATTAGTTTTTCTTTTGTTGGTTTTTTTGAAAAAGCAAGTAGTTACAGTTACTAAGTCCAAACTATAAACCCGTCATTTTAGAGATGGCCACGGCTCCTTCACGTTTTTTTTTTTTTTTTTTTTTGTCTTTACTAGGAGGTTGGGAGTCCGTCCTATATACACAGATTCAAAGTGTGCCAGATACCTGGCCAAGGATTACAAGCAGGGTGCTTTGCCTCCCTGGCTTTCTTTTTTCTGAAAACATCTCTCTTCATATTCTAGTGAATGCATTTTCCTCAACTACTGTCCTTTGGATGTTCAAACTGACAAACTTGTAGATTTCTAACTAAGTATTTAACTGGGAGAATACTTTCTCATCTGTAATATCATTAAACATCCTCTCCTCCCCACATGCCCCATAAAACTAAATAAAAAAGAATTAAGGAAAAAGGAAAAGCTAGGTCACGGGCATTCTTCTCTCCCAATGTAACTTTCATATGTTCCAAACACTTTTCATTCACTTCTCGGTCACCTTAATTTACCTTTATTTGCTGTTTTGTTCAGAGTTAATAGTTGTTACCTGTGGGGGAAGGTTTTCTGATAGGAAGTTCTTGACCAGGCTAGTGGAAAAACTAATTTAGCCTTTTAGTAAAGAAACAAAAGGTAAAGATGAAAAAAAAAATATCTGACATGATGAGATCAGCACATTCCGAATGCACTTTAGAAGGATTATGAAGATGAGACCAGAGTAAAGATGAGACCAGAGAACAGTTTGAGAGCCTCTCTGAAGCCCACAGGGCAGGGCGCTGGCGCTGGGGCTGGCGCTGGGTCTAGGCAACAGTATGGAGGCTCAGCACAGGGGCTGGTCTTAAAAGATTCCTCCAGAAGGAAGCGTTAGCAAATCCAGAAAGAAAAGCATCATATACTGAATGTGTGGAGAAGGAACCGATGTGGACAGCATGTCCAGGCTGAGGCCTAGATTTAACAATACAGGGGGTGAGTGAGCTCGATGCTCCTTAAAAGTGAACATCCAGAAAGAGTCACTGTTGCCATGGAGGGGAATTGTCGTCTCAAGAGAGTTCAAAACAAGGAACAGACGTGAGGGTGGAGGGTGACTCAGGGATGGCTTCGAGCTTCTGGGCTGAAGGAGGGGAAGAGGAGGGGCCCCCAACAGCTATGAGGCCTAATGCTGATGCAATTGGAGTTGTATGACTTTTTTATTTAAATATTGAGAAGCTGTTTTAGAATCTAAACTCGAGGGTTACAGCAGTGCCTTGGGGACATGACTATGGTCATTATTTTTCTTAGGAAACATTAACTGCACAGAGCACTGGTCAACAGAACTCAATGCCAGAAAAAAAAATGGCTCTTGCATTGTTCTTCAGATTCATCCACATTACCTGAATAATGTCCCTCACTATGCGGTGTCTTTTATTTACAAAGAGTGCTCAACATGGCCATCATCTGTATAACTTTATCATAACGATGCTTTAGCATTTGCAATATTAACATTACCAGTCATGATGTTACCAACAGCAATAAAATTGCTAAAGCCTAGTGTGATTGGTTGTCTACAGTCTTCCCAGGATCCATGTTTCCAAAAACGTCAAACTAGAAACTTTTATGTCAGTTTCGTTCAGTTGCCTTAGAAATAGATATCCTTATTACCAGCAATGCCAGTCATTTCCATACTTTTTCTTTTATTTACTTGTGGGTAAACTTCGTATTTCTGATTCCTTGTTACACTGCTGTGATCCAATCCAAATCTTGTTAGAAACTATTTGTTAAGACAGAAACCAAACACATCAGCCAATTGAAAGCAGAGTGTCATTGCAAATGCAGCTGAATTTTACAGGTGGTTAACATGCAGGGTTAATCTACCCAGCACTGGATTAATCTAGCAAGAAAAGTGGGTCCGTAATATTGTGAGCTTTACTTCTGTGCAGGATAAGGGACCCAGCTAGAACACAAGTCTTGCAAAGCTCCCTCCGGGGCTACTTTGTCATCTGATCACACATTTCCCCAGAGCTGGGACTAGGCGGTGGTAATGGAGGTTCAGCATAGTGGCTGGACTTAAGAGACTAGGGACTGTGAGGAAATGGGGAAAGATGCTGAAGCCGAGGAACAAGGCATGGAAATGGCCAAGAAAAGAAGAACAGGTGTGAAGTTCCCTGGGGAGAAAAGCTTTGACGGTGCCCATGGTACATTGTTTGTATGGAAAACACAATGTCACACTGTTCTTAACCGGGATGTCCTATAGATGATCAGTCTGGAGTTCTGAGCTAGGCTCAGAATCAACTCATGTCTGTCTGCCTGGCCCCTCTGAGAATGAGTTTTCAGCATCAAAAAAAAAAAAAAAAATCTATAAAGAATGAGAGGAGTTTGGGTTTTACTTCAAGGATGATGGGAAAATGCTGAGCGGCCCTAAGCTGGGGGAGAAGAGTTGGGAGTCACTGATATGATTCATGTACTCAAAGTTCACTGTGTTTAGATAACATCCCAAGGAAGCAAGATTGTACTAGGACACCAAAGAAATGTCTCCAGAAGGGAGGCATGGTACAGTTTATTTGTATCCAAGACTATACCCCTCACTGGTCAAAGACAAAAGAAGTCAGCATGGGTTTAGGAGACCCAAGTTTCAAAAGTACTGCTCAACCCAGGCTCTCAGTGAGAAAACTATTTGTACTATAACCCACTGTTACATCCCTCGATGTAAGCCAGTCTAAGTCAGAGCCTGAGTGTAGCGATGCAGAGAGGCTGGCTTTCGTGGTGAGACCATCACACAGCACTATGGACTGGGTGGACTGGACAATAGACATTTAGCTCCTTTGGACTGGCCAAAGCTTTCTTCCTGATTTGCAGATGGCTCTTGCAGTAGCCTGACATGCGTCTATGCTCCAAGACACAGTCCTTTGGGGTCAGGATGTGCCCTTATCTTCTTGTTAACCTTAATAAATTATCACTTCCAATATGCAAACATTGGGGATGGCATGAAGACATCACTAGGTCCATACTAGATGTTTTTGTTATCACCCTCACCCCTAGTGATTGGGGGAGGGGGTGGAACGCAAGGGCTTCACAACTGGACTACACCTCCAGGTCTTCTCCTTGCTGTTTTCACTCCCATCCTCTCTCAAGCCTTTCCTGACTGCCTAACAGCTGGTGGCAGTAAACCAAACAGAGAAGGGAATCTGGCAAAGGAGCAGTCTTTCCCCAAGGAAACATTTAGATCCCTTGAGAAAGCAGGAACTGTGAGCAGTCCTCTAAGAACGCCTTTGCTGTTGCAGCAAATAATCTCGTTGTTTGTAAAGAAAATATGTTAACGTGTGCATGTGTGCGTGCACGCGCGTGTGCGCACAAAACCAGGGCTTCATGCTTGAGTGTGAACCCTTTTTTTCTAGCCTCCGTTCCACTTAGTCAGTGAACTCAATCTTTAGAATTTTAAATATGGTTAAGTATAGATACAAGAAATCTATATAACAAAGTCTTTTGGCGGGTCTTCACTCTTTTGCGTGTTGAAGGGAGTCCTGTAAAGTGAACATTCAAGGACCACCGGTCTAGGGTGCTGTCAGTAGCTGTCTCAGTCATGACTTCTGTCTTCACAGCGCTCCTGCTGCTTCACAGCGCTCCTGCTCTCTGCCCTTGGGAACATTGCCCTTTCCCTTGGCTTCCTTCTCCCAAGCTATCTCAGGCTTCCACGCCACCCTAGCGCATCCCCTGTTGCTACCTTTCAGGATCCCCAGACGCCCTGGCCACCCTGGCCAGCAGCTGCAGCCCGCCCCGCCCGACGGTGCCCTCGCGTGGGCCCCGCGCTCACCTGCCAGGCAGGCTGTGGTGTCCATCCACTTGAGTAGCTGTCCTGCGCTCAGCTCGCCACGGGAGTCCGCATGTGCCGGCTGGATGGCCTGGCTCATGAGCACCTCACCCCGCGCCACCGTCGCTTCCATGGTCCCGGCTGAGGGCTGAGAGAGCCGAGTGCCAGTCGCCAGCGCCTGGACATCCTGCTCCCCCGGACCCGCCCCCGTTCCAAAGGGCGCCGCCTGCTCCCGCTGCCAGGTGCTTAGGAGGTGAGAGGTCAGGGTCCCACAAGTCACCCCCGTACTGCAGCACTGCAGCGAGGAGGGCGAGAGAGGACTCCCGGCCTCTCCCCGGTCAGAACCCGAGCGCTGCCCCAGCTCTAAAACTGGGGCGACTCTAGATTGCAGGACAGCGGTCATCTGCTGAAGACCTAGGCAGAGGAGGGCTCATGAGAAGGGATTGCATGCTTTTGGCTTTGCTAGGCTTTGGGGTTTTGTTGCACCGTCGGTTTATTATGGCCCTTTGTATTTTTTTTTCCTACTCTACATTGCAACACTCCAGGCCTTTGTTCAAACTGTACCTTCTAATTCTTAGGACACTGTAATGGCTCCAAAAATCATTTTGTTAGGAAATCAATTCTGCTGATAAACAAACAAAAAACAAAAGGCCATAGGAAGCTGATGTGAGTGTAGGGACATCAGAGCCACCCAACTAGAGAAGGCTGCACTCTTTAGATTTATCTATAAAACACAAGATCGGAAACTGTCACATTGTTACCAATGATCCCCACAAGTCCCCAAAGATGCCTTCTTCAGCCCTCTTTATGGGAGACAAATCTAGGACACTACCCATGAACTGAAGGACCACACTCAGAGGCTACAGCCACTACGCTTTCTTTGTAGAGTTCCGGCACCGACTTTACAAAGCGGTTCTTGTCAGGGAAACAGGGGCATCAGATGCCTTCAGGGGCTCCTAGATGCATGGATGGCTGCCTTGTGTGTGGTCGGTGCACACTTGTGGATGAAGTCACAGAGACCTGGAGAGGTGAGCTAAGACATGAAGACTAGCTCTTTGGAAGTCAGGACTTCCTGTCTTTCTTGGGACCTCACTGACTTCAGGGAATGACACTGGCCTCTGGCCACCAAGTGCAGCCCTGGAGCATCAAGGAGAGCCTGGTTTTTATTATTATTACTAATATTATCATTATAATAATAATTTTTATTACTATTGGTATTTCAAGACAGGGTTTCTCTGTAGCTATGGAGACTGTCCTGGATAGTTTCTATTATTTTAAATGACATGCATGTATGTGCCGGGGTGTGGGCATGTACACCTACCTAAGTGCTGGTCCTCAGAACCCCTAGACTGGAGAACTGAGATTTTCTTGGAACTGGAATCACAGGCAGTTGTGAGTCGCCTGATGTTACAACTGAGAGCCCACTCTCTGGAGAGCGATACTAGCTGTTAACCAGTGACCCATCTTTCCAGCCCTGAGCCTGGGTCCTTTGCCTCCCCTCTAAACACACACATACTTAGCAAGCAAGGCGGGAAGGAGTACTGACTTGACGGACTTCAGGAGCCTTCGTATCTGGCCAGTTGCAGACTACATGAGCACAGATAAAAGTGGAATGCCTTCAGTTAGGCAAGGAGGAGGTTTGATTTTGTAAGAGGCATGAGGCAATTCAACAGGACCTTTCAAAGGGGGGATCTTGTGTAGCGCAGGCTGGATTTGAACTTTCCTGTTTCACCGCTGCATTGACTTTAAAATCCATGAAAGCCGCTGTATCCGAGATGATCCCTTTTCATAGACATACAGTTGTTATTCGTTGGCAATGTGACTATGTCCATATCATGTGTAGTAATGTCTGGGGTGTTCTTAACACCTTTGTATCTATCTTCTGTCATGACAACCATCACTATTTAGGGATTAGTGAATGAGAGGACTGTTCAGCTTGTACTCACTTGATCTACTGATAACTCTATGGGAGGTTTTCGTTGATGTTGGACTTGGTCATGTGACTTGTTTGGGGATGGAAAGTGTGCTAGGTTTCTCCTTGGACTCCAGGAACATCTGACTTTTGTCATAAGGAGACTCTGCACCCACTAATGACATCACCACCTGACTGGATTCACTTGTTTTTGTTATGTTACTGGTGGAACCCCAAACCCATAGCTTCACAGAGCCTTCAACATCCATGAAGACTTAAGAATGAGGCATTACTGCTCAGAGTTGAATGCCAGTGTGGTGTGGGGGCTCATTTGTTACACAGCAATAACGCAGTGGGGTTTTATTCATAAGTGCTTGAGGGAATTTATTAAAGTATTAGAAGTGACGTATCTGTGGTCCAAGGTGCATTCCTTTGAGTAAAAACTGTGAACTAAAATGATAATATTGAATTATGTCCCTTCACGTATTTGAGTTGTTATCCCTTTTTGACATCTCATAAATGTGTAAGCTCGGGTATAAGAAGACATCTTCCAAAGATGTGATTTGAAAATGAGACATTTGTTTGTATATGTTTATCTGAGGACACCTCACCAAAGAATAGGCAGAGCATACAAACTCACTATTGTGTTTCCTTGTTTTTTCACCTCTGTTTGGGTGGCTTGATTACAGTTCCATCTCTTTTGTTGGAGTCACATGAATTTTCATCTCAATAGCCTGAAATTCTGTCCTTTTCTGTTTCCCGGATGGTCCTCTTCTCCCGTTCCCGGTGAAATGTCATCTGTGTTCGAGAACAATTTCTATCTCAAATTCCCTGCTATAAAAATTCCATTGTTTGAAGAAAGCCTCCACATTTGTCATTTTATATCCGGAGATATCTTCTGGGGATGAACAGGATGAATAGCCAGGCCACTTTTAAAGATCATGCGCAGAACAGGAAAACTCACCAAACAGAGAACAGAGCTGCAAATCACATAATCTCGAGAAAGGAGACCCTCTTCAGAATGTGTGAAGTTAAGGTCTCCTCATCCACCCGCATGCTCCCTTGTTAAACAGGACAAGAGGATACCAATAGCTGGCACGAGAAGGGCTGCAAACAGTGAGTGCTGAGGCCATGCGGACAGGAAGAGAATGGGAGCAGCTGATGCAGGCACTGTGCCCTGACAGGAAAGGCAGCCAGGACCCCCTTCACCGCAGGAGGCAAACCCCAAACTGAGGGTTGGGCTGGTCCACGTATTTCATACCAAGATTGGTTTATTAACTCCTCCTGTTGTTGGTTTTATTTTGTTTTGTGAGATCATGCCTGATAGTCTCTCTGTGCTAGAGGCTGGCCTCAAACTTGTAGCAATGCTCCTGCCTCGGCAGCACAAGTGCTGTATTTACAGGCATACATCACCATAGCCATTTTTATTTCTTCTATTCTTTTCCCAGAACCCTCTTTGTTTGGTTTGGTTTGGGGTCTTGGAAGTATTTCCCCTGTGGATTCTGCAACTGGAAGTATTGTGTAGCTCCATTGATCTTTAAAAGCCTAGGATGCTCTGGTGAAGATCTTGGAACCACAGGGGTTTCCTTTGGGGCGATTTTTAAATTATGGATTTACTTTTTAAACAGTTACTAGCCCACTCAAGTGATCTAGCTCATGTAATCATTTCTAGTTTTAGAAGATCGGTGTAGGTATGCTCATCTCAGAAGGCGACCTGCCACAGGCAGAGCGGAGCTCAGGGCTGAGCTGGTGTTTTTCTCCCGTTGGGCAGCACCACGCCGGCTCTACTAAACCCCATTTCACAGCTGTCCCTTTCTGACTCTCTAGTTTCAGCGCAGGACGCCATCTCCTGACTACTGTTTCCTTGCATTGCAAACAGGTTCTCCTGATTCTTCTGTCCTCTGGTGACCAGACAGGTTTCATTGTTTGGTGCCTCTGTTGTAAGAGGCATTGCATCAAAAGGACAGAGCTTCGCTGGCAGCCTTCCCCAAAGTCTTGTCTGTTTAACCAAGGCCATTCTTATGATGCGGGGAGGCCTTGGTAATGTGGGAGGTAGCCCTAGATCTTGTGCTTCTGTCTGAGTCAGGCTGTTCCATTGAATACATCACTCTGTTTGTTTTGCCACATTAAACTTCGGTTTCTATAAAATGGATACTTTTCCTACTCCATGAAGTACACTCAGACCACAGAATCATCATTATAAAGTATAATAATCAGTACCAATATGATTTATCATTTATTTGTTAAGTGTCCTTCAAGTCTCAAAACTATCCTGCAGGTAGTGTCTCCTTAGAGAGTTGAGTCTAATAATGAACACAATACGTGTCACACATCCCTATAAAAGGTATGCACTATTTTAAAATCCCTATTTTACAGTTAAGGAAACTGTGATAACTTTCCCAAGATCCCATGACTAGGAATTGGCAGTAACAGACCTGGCTCTCACCTCAGTTGGGCTGTGATATCCAGGAGCAAGGTCTGTAGCACATGGATTCAGTGGGAGGGATGGAAGGGAGTCCTGTCTGCCTGACTCCGCTGGCCCTGGAAGGGATGGAAGGGGCTCCTGTCTTCCTGACTCCATAGGCCCTGGGAGGGAGGAAAGGGGTGTCCTGTCTGCCTGGCTCCACAGACCCTGGGAGGGAGGGAAGGGGTGTCCTGTCTGCCTGGCTCCACAGGCCCTGGGAGGGAGGGAAGAGACATCCTGTCTGCCTGACTCCACAGTCCCTGGGAGGGATAGAAGGGTGTCCTGTCTGCCTGACTCTGCAGGCCCTGGGAGGGATGGAAGAAAACAACCTACAAAACCACGACATTCTGTAAACATCTCAATTAGAACCCTAAACATAAATAGACTTAACTTAAAAGATGTTTGCTTTTAAAAAATGAGATCTAACTATCATTTTCTCCAAAATAACACATATCACTGGCAAAGTCATAGAGAAATAGAGTTAAAGGACAGAGGGTGATACATGAAAACAAAAGCCCAAACCAGCTAGCATAGTTTTTCTGATATCTGAAGCACGTTGGTTTCCAATAAAAGTAGTCAAAGAAATATAGACACCACATAGTAATACAAAGGATAATCCATCAGGAAGATATATAAATTGTAAGTACCAATGAGAGCTGAGGCTCTCTGATTCATAAAATAAACACTAATGGGAATAAAGGGTCCCGAAGCAATAGAAATGTCTTCAATTTCCTGTTCTCGTCACCAGTAGGCCATCCAGACTAAGCCAATACATTTCAGAATTAGCCTGCACCATAGAT